GGGGTCGGGGGGGGATGCCTCCAGCTCAGACTTGGTGAATAATCGTGGATGTGTCACGAGGAACAGGGACAGAGCCCGACACGGCCACCCCGGCGCGACATCGGAGGGACGCCCGGCCACGGGCTGGCCGCTGCGACCTTGGAAATGGAGGGGTCCGGTGTAAAACCAGCGTAAAACCAGTGTAAAACCATGTAAAACCAGTGTAGTGGCACCCCCAAAACGCCACATCCCGGCTGCAGCCGAATACGTCGTAGGAGAGGGAGGCCAGCTTTTAAAAAGAAAGAAAACAAACAACTGGGAGCGTTTCGTGCCTGAGCAGCAGGCCGCCTCGGGTGCGCTCCCCCCCTTCGCCTAAGGCCGAACAGGCAAAGCATTTTTCTTCAGAAAGACCCTGTTCTGCAGAGCCCGGGCCAGAGGTACCGGGATTACTCACGGCACGCGAAATAAAGCCTGTAGGAAAATCTTTGCGTGCCTGGGGAGGAGGTTCGGCCCGCCCGGCCAGGCTCGGCGCGGGGGTTAGGGGGTGACTAAGTCACCAGATGAGTAAGTCGTCACCTTGGTCTCCTTCCGCCCCCAGCGCTGCTGCTAAACGCGTCCCAGCCTCAGACTAAAACCGGCGAAGCTCCGGGTGTCGGGGATTTCCTCGTCGGGGTGACGGGGCTCAGGCGCCAGCGGGGACGTTGTGCCAGGCGAGGCTGGGGCCTCCCGGCCGCGACGGGTGCAGGCCTGGCCCGACCAAACACCTGCGATTAAATTAAGCCCAGATTAAGCTGTTTGAAAGACTAGAACCTCCACCGTGACCTGTCAGTCGGGGTTCCTGGGCTGGGCTCTTTTCCTTCCATCCCCCCCCCGTGCTTTCCTTGGCTTAATTTCTCCTAACGAGCCACAGGGTAACACAAATAAATAATCGGAGGGCTCACAGCTAAAAGCAGGACTCCGCTGCCCAGGGGTGAGAGCCCCAGGAATCTCTATCTTAAAACAGAGAAGACGGACAAAGGGCGAGGGAAACAAAGATTTCTCCCTCCTTCCACGCAGCGAGAGCAGGGCCTTGTTTCAGCTCCGTCCCTCCTATCTCTGCCCGGGTTACCGCCGATTTCCCCCCCCCCGCAGAGGATGAGGACTGCCTCGCATCGAGGCTCTGGGCGGTTTAACCTGCTCGCTCAGTGCTTCTCGGGGACCGGCCGATTTTACTTTTCAACAGACCCAGACATTTATGGAGGAGTTAAAAATAAAATAAATAAATTAAAAAAATCTGCTGGGGAGATTCCCAACGCGTTCCCAAGGATTTCAGCCCAAAGGGTGCTTTGCTGGGGAAAGCGATCCACAAAAAAGTCCCCGTTTCCGTCGTGCCGTGGCTGTTCTCCGTTTTGGGTTTCCATTAGATTTGGAGAGCGGGTGGGCAGAGTTGTAAAGGAAAGGGGCTTAAACACCTCCGTGACACCCTTGGGGGTTCAGGCCTCCTCGACAAGGGGTTCGCTCTACAAGTCACAGCCCGCACGCGCGCGTCACAGCCGAGACGAGGGCTCGCCGTTTACTGGCGGACGGGGAACCTGCAGTCTCGGGGAAAGGGGTTTCCGCGCCGCCACAAAGAAAGGCTGACGCAGACGGGACCTTCTGCGAGCCAAACCGGTCCCACGGCCACAGGAACGTCCTCCTCCTCAGCGTCCTTGTGCCAGTACCGCTCGGCTTCGCTCTTACAGGTCTCGGCTGCGTGAAGAGTGGGGAGAAAACGTACCTCTAAGTGTCGCAGCTACTGAAAACCGCGTTCACCTTTCCCCCTCGCTCTCAGAGGCCTCAATGCCTGTTTTTAATACAGTATTTTTAATAGTCATCAGTCCTTCAGAACGCAGGAGGGGTGGGATAGGGCACGTTAGCCGGGTTTCACACCGTTCGAAACGATAAAGGGCTCGCGTCACAGGCTACGCTTCCCATCTACCTCGATTCTGTTTGAATTACTTATGCCGGTACTTTGCAGCAGCTTGGCAAATTACTTCCCTGGGCTTTGCATCGGGGACCCAAATTCAGAGCCCAGCTCTTTTCTTATTAAGGCCAGAACGAACCAGAAGGAGGTCACCGGAGTCAAACCTAAAGTCAGTGAAGAGCTAAAGGAACCAACCCGCCCCCCCCGCGGGGCCGCGCCGGCTCCTCCGGGCACGCCGGGAGCTGTAGTCCCCCGCTCCACGTCCCGGGGCCCCACAAAAGAGAACTCCCCTCTCCACCCCGCACCCCGCACGCCTTCCACCAAGACCCACAGCACTGCCTAGGCACAGCTCCTG